TAAATGTAGCATTTGACTTCCAGAAATGGTGACATTTTAGCCTGGCACAGGCTGAGAGAAATGTTACTTTTCAGTTGAGAAATGGCTTTGAGGCTTGTTTTTAAATTGCCTTGGCTTCAGCCCTTGTGACAAGATGCAGGGGAAAATGCAGATAGAATGGTTGGATTCAGTTCTACAAACATTAGTTTAAACTAAAAAGCGTCTGATTGGTAGCCAACTATGACATTTTGAGCTATAAGTGTTCAGCATGGAAAGATAATAGGGCTAGTCCTAGGAAAGCTAGCATCCCAGGTGGAGGAGCAGTTTCAGTTCCTTTCCTCAGTCAACTTACAGATTTCTTCTGTTTTTATAGACCAGAATCATGTTTAAAGGTGGGGGAGGAAGCCTCACACGTGCACCATGGTAAACACACATGCAGTTTGCAGCCTCTGAGATGCTATGTTGTGTGAAATTGTTTGTGTTATGTCACACATTACACGTGGCTCCCCTTCCTGCTGGTCTTCTACACATATGTAAAGACTTTCCTTTTTTAGGGCAGACTTTTAGCTCTTAAATTGAATATTGTTGCCTTTATTGTGGAGTTTTAAAGAGTTTTTTTTACCCATTTAAAAATTGCTAGTCTTTTAAATGACTAGTATACTGTATTTTTCTGTTTATAAGACACCCCCATTTATAAGACGTCCCCCCCTTTTCTAACACAAAAATTAAGAAAACATAGTTTTGAGGATTCAGCCTCTGGGCTCAGAACGCTTGGAGATTAGGAGTCCCTGTTGAGTCTGAGCCTACAGGCTCCACATCCAACGAGGTGTGTTCCAATTGGTTTGTTCAGCATCAGCTGACTTCAGTTTCATAAGGTTTGTGATTGGAGGAAGATAAGTCTCTTGACTGCAGGAAGCTAAGCCTCCTGACTGGAGGCAGTTAAGCCTCATGATTGAAAGAAGAGGCAAGATACAGGCTGTTTTGTTCTCTGCATGTTCTCAGCTTCTGTAAAAGACGCCCCTCCATTTTTAGCGTAATGATTTTAGAAAAAAATAGTGTCTTATACACGGAAAAATACAGAATCTAGGTTCAACCATCAATCCAAATGGAGACCATAGTCAAGAAATCAGAAGAAGACTGAGACTCAGAAGGTCAGCAATGAAGGAACTAGAAAAGATAATCAAATGTAAGGATGTGCCACTGGAGACCAAGATCATTTGCACTTTCATATTTCTAGTCACCATGTATGAGTATTTTATTTATTTATTTATTTATTTATTGGACTTATATACCGCCCCATAGCGCTACAAGCACTCTCCGGGCGGTTTACAATTTTTAATTATACAGGCTACAGTTAAGAAAGCTGACAGGAAAAAAATGAGATATGGGAAGAGAGCTTTGCAGATACCCTGGACTGCCAGAAAGATGAACAAGTGGGCCCTAAACCAAATCAAACCTGATTTCTGGAGGCAAAAAAAGTTGAAATTGAAGCTGTCCTACTTTGGACACATTGTTAAAAGAGAGGCTTCTCTGGAAAAGACACTAATGGCAGGGAAAATTTGAAGACAGCAGGAGAAGAGGAACATGAAATGCAAGATGGATTGACTCACTAACAGAACCCACAGACTTGAGTTTGCAAGAGCTAATCAGGGCTGTTGAAGACAGAACATTTTGGAGATCACTCATTCCTATGGTGGCCATAACTTGAAAGTGACTTGACAACGCATAACAACAGTCTTTCAAATATTGTATGTTTAATACATTTAATGTTGTGATTTACTGTGTTTTATTTGCATACATTTTGAATTTATTTGTGGCAATCAGGAGAAAAGTGGAAAAAGAAAAATGAAAGAAAATTGTGGGGTAGACTCCCTTACAAAGGCTGGCAGCAGGTTACTTGATTCATGTCCAAGGTGCAGGGTTCCCCCTTCCTCAAGTTTCCCGTTATAGTTTTTATAGGTTGAAATCCAGCTCAAAGCATAAACCAAATCACAACTTTTGGTCTGTTTCTTTCCCTGAAGCAGTTATCAGGGTCATGTGCACATGCTGGCTTTGTGTGTGCATACGTGTGTGTGCCCCCTTCCCAAGAACTGTGGCTGAAATGCTTTGTTTACCAAGGAAGAACAGACTAAAGTTTACACTTTGGTTTACACTACAAACAGAACTGCAGTCATAGCGTTTGCAGCTCTTATAGTGCTTAGTAATATTGTCTCACAGTTGGTTGTTTTTACATAAAACAAAAGCATAAAATTGAAAACAAATTCCTGAAAGTTTACTTTTATAGTAATTGCCCAAATAAGGCTAAAAAGTTAAAGGCTAAACTCTCTAGCCACAAATGTCACTACACTGGCCCAAGGCTTGTTGTGCTACTCATTGTGCATTTTCCGAAGTAGAACAAGATGGTATCCAAGACAGTTTTGCTTGTAAGGCCCTAAACGGTTTAGGACCTCGATATTTGGCGGAACGCCTGCTTCCACCAAGGTCTACCTGGATCAGCCGTGTGAGTCAGGAGGTGAGGCTGAGGAGCCTGACGCCGAGAGAGGCCCGGAAGGAAAAGACACAAAATGGGGCCATCTCGGCGGTGGCTCCTCGCCTCTGGAACAACCTCCCTCCAGAAATTCACGTGGGCCCCACGCTGGGTATCTTTAAAAGCCAATTAAAAACATGGATGTATATCCAGGCCTTCCCTACAGTCAATACTTGATTTTTCTTTTATTCTTTCTTTATTTATTTCTTACTTTATTTTTGTATTGCAATTTGTTATTGGAAGACTTATGTAATATTCTTGTGTTATTTTATTGTTCTTTATATTATATTGGAAGCCGCCTAGAGTGGTCGTATAGGCCAGATGGGTGGGATACAAATCAAATAATAAATAAATGAATAAATGAATAAATAAATAAATAAATGTGCAATACTCTAATACAAATTTGTAATCTGACATGATGATGGTGGTGTAATGTCAAGTCAATTCTGACTTATGCTGACCCTTTTCAGGGTTTTCCAGGTAGAGGATACTCAGAAGTAGTTTACCATTCCCTTCTTCTGGGGGTGCCATGGAACTATGCAGCTTGCCCAAGGCCACACAGGCTGGCTCTTCTCCCAGGGACCATAGTGTGGAATCAAATTCCAAGATTCTGGCTCTGCAGCCAGATAATTAACTTACTGAGCTATTCAGCCAGCTAAACTAACATAGAGCTTGGAATCTAACACAGAGCTCGGAAATAACTAGTTACATAAATAACATATAATGGAGTCAATTAAATTATGGTTCAAAAGCAATTAACAGTTACAGAGTTACTTTGTTAGTAAATTGAAATGAATTTTCAAATAAATTGAAATAAATTTTCAATTTATTTTCAAAGGTTGTTTTTAAATGACAATACAATACATTAACAATGCACAACTCAACAAATTATATCTGTGAGTAGAGCAGCAACAAGGACCGCCCAGCTACCTCAAACTAATGAAAACTAAGTGCAACAAGTTTCTTTGAAACATGTTATCGTCGTTGATTTCTTTTAATCTCAACTTCTTTTAATCCTGAATAGGAAATACATTGTGTATTAAGGTAAATTCTTATTTAAAATGGATGGAAAAGAAAGTCTTACATCCACAATCAAATGAAATATTCTGCGTAACACTAGACCTCATTGCAGCAGGATAAAGTACACCTCCACACCACTAGAAATTAGTTGTGTTGTTCCATTTTAGTTTTGAGTGCATTGTTTGCCCTGAGCACAACCCTTCATACAGAATATGCAGTTAGTTCATTTTGTATATGTTCCCATAGGGCCATTCAGTTCACAGCACCTCGTCTCTTTGAAATCCCAGACTCTGAGCTTTTCAATTTCCATATGGCATGAAGTGGTTTCAGATTTCCCATTTCAATTCATTCCACAATGTGGAGATATGCTATTAGATCCTTCACCCCAACTGTTTTTTCTCAGTTCATCTGACTCTGCCCAGTACTCCAGCAATTGTGTGCATTTTGTAAGGCTGACAGATCAAATATTTGACAAAAGGCACTGCAAAATACTGGAATTATTTGTATGGAGGTTCTGTATCTCTTCTCTCTTATTAGAGGTGTTAAGTCAGCGAAGCAAAGCCAGGAAGATGGTATTATAATTTGATATTGCTGCTGTAAATGGTCACCATGTTTCATTTAGATGTTTCATTAATTTGTTAAATTAAAATGTTGCAGGCTGTATTTTTCACATCTCAAAAAGCTACTTTTTTGCACTGCAGTTCCTAGAAATCTCCAGTTACCATGGCTAGTGGGTGGATTCTGGAAACTTTTGACTAACTTTTAAGCTCTGCTTTTTATCCCTTATGTAGGGAAGGATGTACCCTCTAGATTTGGACCATGCAAATTTCACATGTTTACTTATACTGTAGTTTTTTCCATCCTGTTTCCATATGAATGTACAATTTAAATTTTTAAAAGAAAAACTGGTGTTTAACTAGACATTTAAATAAGAATTTTAAATGCACTTCTCCACAAAACATACATTCCTTCAACATACACATTTCAAAGTAAAATTTGATACTTTTTTTTTAGAGAAATGTGTTGTACTGTTCAAGATGTGTGAAATCATGACTAGAACAATAACCTGGGGGATGGAAATCTGGTCAATTTGCCTCTGGTCTCCAAAGACCTCTGTAGCGGGAACAAAACTTCTATAGTATTCTTACCTTTTTTGAAGTACAGTGCCTGTACAAGCATGACTTTGCTGACAATCAGGACCAGCTGATAGTTTAAGAACAATCTACCACATCTTATAAAAAGGAATATTCCACAGCTACCCACTCTGCTTTAGGCAATTATGTGGTTACTTTAGTGGGATTTACTTCTGCGTAGAAATGGATTGTACTGTAAATTAATTTTGAATGCTCGGCTATCATATTGATAATGCTACTCAAATAAATTGACACTGTTGGCTGTTTTAAGAAGTTGTGATAAAGAATCAGAGCTCCAAGACTCATGTTAAGTTTCATAGGCTAGAAGAAGTGGTACTCACTCTTACATATGTCCAAAGGTGGTTCCGAACGGAGGATCTGAGTAGCCTCAGGTTGGTTATTGTAGACCATGGTGCCATGTGAGCAAACCTTAGGGGATGGCTTTTTTAAAATCTCTTCAATAGAAAAAGACAAAAAGGGCCTCTTTTGGTCACCACATTCCTTTGAGCTGCTCATCTTTATTCCATTCTGAGAACAGAAAAAGCTCGGCATCAAACTGTGTCAAATGACATGTGCTCCATATATTTCACACTCTGTGGACTCCTTGTTTTTTAAGTGCAAGGAACACAGCAGAAGTTGTTGATCTTCTTTCCATGTTAACCCCTACTCAGACTCATGCAAAAGACTGAAGGAAGAATAAAAGTCACTTCCTTCTGGCAGTCCTTGAAATCCACTGGAAGATTTAGAAAAACCATGTGTCCAACCCTACAGTATGATTGCCTGAATAAAAACAAAGAATGCGTAGCCCCACCCATGGTAAAGCAATGACTCCAGACAGTTAAAGTGCCAAGTATCCTCATACATCTTCACATATCCACTGTCTTTTTAATCCTAAGAGGAGGAGTCTTCTGCTTAGTAGAGCTGAGATCTTCCTGATAAAACCCATTTAAAAACTTGATATGGTACATGCAGAAAGTTGTTCCGAAGTATTACTTCTCTTTTTTGCCCTTCCAAAGAGATTTGCATGGAAACACCAGCATTTTCTACTGCTGTTCTTGAACCAAACAAAGCAATGAGGCTTGAAGAATCCAGTTAAAAAAATATTTTTCACATTTGAAAACCTTGAGAAGACTTTTTGGAGCCATCATAGTTAAAAAAAAATCTTCAGGGATTTTTATAATTCTTCTTGAGACCCCCGTGGAAACTGCTGCATTGTGGCTTTGCTTTGACAACAAAATAGCAACGGCATAATAATAATAAAAAAATGAAACCCTTATAAAGATTTTTCTGTGTACTCAGGCTTTGTTTCCTTAACACAACAGATCAGGTTTAGAAACATCCCAAAGTTAAATCTTCTTCTCAGAATAAACTATACCAATAAGAACTTCAGAGGTCAGCTTCTTCCTCCCAGTCCTCCTGATTTCTCTTGTTCCTTTCAATTTAATGACACATTCTTGGGGGGGGGGGAGTTAAGCTTTTGTAAATTATCCTTCACCTTTGAATGTTACCTTCCTCCTTCCCTTTTTTGGCTTGTCTCCCTACCTTGGTTGCACTACTTTTATCCTGCAACTGTATTGACAGATTGTTCCTTGTTTGTCCAATTAACCTGACAATTGTTAAGCTGATATCCCATCATATGATTCTTTGTAAAGCTTAGGCTGAAATTACTGTGTAACCAGGTGGCAATAAAAGACATCTGATAAGATGAAAGATGTTCGTTTTTTTCACAAAGACTGCTGGAGTAACTGCTCAGGGAAAGAAATCATGGTGGAATGGCAACATATTACAGGCAGGCAGTAATATGCTGTTTCTAATATTCCAGCAGTACAGCCTTATGCATGTTTACTCAGAGATAAGTCTCGCTGTGTTTAGTAGGCCTTGTTAACAGGCAAGTACACAGAGGATTGCATTCTGGTAAAGCAATCCTATGCATGTCTGTGCAGGGAAAAGGTATGTACACACTTCAGAAAAAGCACAAAAATGGACATCAATTCAAAGGTATTGGTGCAATTCTAGGGCTACTATGGGTAGTACCAAGGAGTTGCAAACAGCATCACAATAAATTCTTCATAAGCCATTTCAGCATTCATAGGGCTAAAAAGATGGCCAACAATTTGAACAGAGGAAAAATAATAATAATAATAAAAAAGATACAGAAGACGAAGCACCTGAAGAAAAGGTAAATAACAGCTGAAATCGCTGGATAAAGCCCAAGGCATCCCGTAGAGATTCCAGCCACTGAAGTACTAGGAAAGCTGCAGAGCAAAGCGGAATACTTGTGTGGCTATTCAGAAAAAATGCTGTCAGCTAGCGTTACCTTAGGCATCCTTCGGTCTCGAGAGACTATGGTAACGTGCTCTGTATCGAGGACTTGGAACAGCGTTGGGTGTTGCTGAAAAGGCCAATTCGAGAGTGACAATCCCTTCCACACTGAAGCCAAATACACTCTGTCCTCTGTCCAGCTCCCTGATTTTGCTGCTTCTGGGACTGCCTCTGTGCCTCGACCTGCTGGATAAGGGTCTCTTCAAATTGGGAGAGGCCATGATGCACCACCTGCTTCCAGGCTGAACTCTCAGATGTCAAGGTTTCCCATCTGTTGAGGTCCATTCCTAAGGCCTTCAGATCCTGCGTGCAGATGTCCTTGTATTGCAGCTGTGGTCTCCCTCTGAGGTGATTTCCCTGGACTAATTCTCCATACAAGTGATCTTTTGGAATGCGACCATCAGCCATTCTCACAACATGCCCAAGCCAACGTAGGCATCGCTGTTTCATTAATGTATACATGCTGAAAATTCCAGCTCAATCTAGGACTACTCTATTTGTAACTTTGTCCTGCCAGGTGATACCAAAAATGTGTCAGAGACAATGCATATGGAACGTGTTCAGCTTCCTCTCCTGCCATGCATAAAGGTCCAGGACTCACTGCAGTACAGGAGTGTGCTCAGAACACAGGCTCTATAGACCTGGATCTTGATATATGCCATCAACTTCTTATTAAGCCATACTCTCTTTGTGAGTCTAGAGAACATGGTAGCTGCTTTGCCAATGCGTTTATCCAGCTCGACATCTAGCGAGAGCGTGTCAGAGATTGTTCAGCCAAGGTACACAAAGTCATGAACAACCTCCAGTTCTTGGGTGGAGATGGTAAGAGAGGCAGGGCCACCTGTCCTCTGCTTCCCCAGTGCGCCTGGCATTTCCTACTGGTATTCCCACTGTTCAGATTTCAGTTAGTATGCCCATTATAAACATTTCCTAATACTTAGGCACTGCTGACAGTTGCTGTTCTCTCTTTTTGCTTCACCCAATTACTGGGAAGGTGAGAGAGGACACAAAAAACTTTTAAAAATGTTTTGCCTGTTTTTGTGGGGGATTTTTAAAGGGCAAAATAATGACAGTATAATATTTGTATTGACTATAACAGAGTTCTGAATATTCATAACTCTAAATCCATAGGACTGTAATTCTGAATTTGAATCTAAATTCTGAATCTGAATTTTGGTGCCAGCACAAAAAGCTCTTCTTTCATTCTTGACATCAAGAGAGACATGTCTTGTAGAGATGCAAAAAATACTATTTATTTGTTCAATTTATATTGAACAAAGTTTGCTAACTTACTGATCAACCTTCGCCTGGCTGGCAAACCCATTATTATTTAGGCAATACATTTCTCCATGGCTGAAGGAAGTTTAGCTGGCTGTGTCTTTTATTGCTGTGTTTTTAATTATTTTTTTCTGACTTATTAGTTTTTACTTTATGTTTTCTCAAAATGTTATTCTTAATTTTTTTATTTTAGTATTGTTTGCTTTTTGGAAGGTATTTTTTGATAGAGAGATGTTTGACGTGATGACTTGTACAACATGCAAGCTTCATCCAGTTATGAACATGCATGTATGTGTGAAACAGTGCTCTGTTGTTACTGTTCAATGAATGGATGAAGGACAAGGAGCCTTGAGTCTTCCACAAGTGACCTTGTCCTGCTCATCAAACTAACTAGGCAGATTGCCAGTAATATGACATTTCTGCACAACTGGGAACTTTTGTAAAATTTACTCCTTGTCCATCTCTTGCCCTTCCATGACTCCATCATGCATTAACTGAGTACTGTTGCTGAGCTGTCAGTCATTCCTGGCTCCTCTGGTACAAAAGCTGCTGCCCTGGATTTTTAACCTACAGTTTTTCGAGACTCTGTTCTATAGCTGATTTCAGCTCATCTATCCTTGTTTATGAATAACAACTCTGTTTTTAAGACTCCTTTGAGTGCAACAGTGCATTATGGCTCTTCTGCCGATGGAAACCACCTTGCTAGATTATTCTCAGAATCATCTCCACAACAAAGAACATCTTTGTGAAGTACCACTATATTTTCTCCTCCAACATCACCACTACTATAGGCTAACCTGGATGCAGAGACAGTGGGAAAGAGGAAAGAAATCATTTAAACATCCCAACAATGCCATGAAACAACACTATGCTGGGTGCCAGAAGGCATTCTGAGAAATGTAAAATAGTGCTACTCCTGTCCTCTGAAGATGCCGGCCACAGAGACTGGTGAAACGTTAGGAAGAACAACCTTCAGAACATCACCAAAGAATCTGAAAAACCCACATTAGATCCCGGCCGTGAAAGCCTTCACAAATGCATAAAATGATTACTTGTAGCTGCATGAGCCTGCTAAAAGCCCAGGACTGGAACCAGTAATGATGGGGACAATCAAGCTTCTGGACGCTCAGTCATTATGTTTGGGGCTCTGGTACTAGTCCTGATAATTCTTGAGATACCTAAAGCATTTGTGTTCAATAAATGCATCTTTGTAGTCATCATCATCTTTGGACAAGACATCTGTCTCATCAACTGTAAGCAGGATGGCCACATGCCCAGAGGAGACACTGGCCTTCCAGATACTGTTGGGTTTGAATTCCACCAACTTCTACTTACATGGTCAGTGATGAGGGAGTATGGCAGTCGTTCATCAGTACACAAGAGTCTATGCTAGTAGAAGGTGTCCTCTGTCCGAGAGTCTCCCTAACCTAAGTCTGGTATGAAAATTAAGAACAGTATAAAAGGAAGCAAGGACCAATTGGCAGTCAGCATCTGGCTAACAGAATGAGTAAGCACACATATCATCTAGTAATGTCTTTGTCACTATGATAAGATGTATTGCAATTCTATGGTAACCCATGTGCTGGAGAAGCATATGGGACTGGGAACCAGTGTGGTGCAGTGATTAGAATGCTGGACTGCAAAATTATGTTTCTGATCCTTGCTCAGCTCAGATACTGGGTAACCTTAGGCCAGCTGCTCTTGCCAAGCCCTGGCCCACTTTACAGACTAAGGTGAAGAAGATGATAGCTCACTACACCAAGTTGGTTCATTGGAGAAAAGATGGAATGTACCTACTTCAATAAAAGAGATTGGATCTGTACAGATGAATGAGCAAATACTGTATACCTTTCTGTGGAAACCTTTTCTCTCTCCCCACTTTTTTTTTTGGTGGTGCCAACCTAATGACAAAGCTCTGTCACACTCCTTAAGACTGAGGATTATCTGTTGGATCAGGTTCTGGTTAAAGGTTTCCTTTTTCTGTTCTACAACTTGTAGCTCTAGCAATTATTAAAATTTTAAGTTAGCAGTCTGTTGAACTGCACTGTTTATCTGCCCTCC